AGAAAATGAGCTGTGCGCCAGTTGCATCTGCATTTTATGCAGGAAAAAACCCATCGAATTGGCAAAAAAAAGGAAACCAAAATAAGTCCCACTGCGGTTATCGCCACGACAGCTGTCAATCACGCAGAAAAAGTCCAGTGAACGAGAAAGTTTTTGTGTTGCCCCCACATCCAGGCGACTTTAATTGTGCCAGGCTTTCAATTAGCAGAACAAGTGATTTTATAGCGCCCTCATCTTTGGCCACTTAAATTACTTCTCGAACTCGGGCAGGTAAAAGTCTTACTTGTCTCCGGGTGTTGGCCCAGAAATTAACCAGCCCGAAACGGCAAAAAAGGACAATTACTTTATTTGTGCACTCAATTTATGCTGATTTATGGATCGGACAATGCACAATGCTGCTGCACGCCATGCCTTCTTATTGCGTCCATCGCAAATGATAATTGCACTAAAATGCAGATTTTTCATGCACTCGAGAAATAAATATTGACCAAATTCTAAAAAGCTGCCAGATTTAATAATAAGCCTTTTCAGAAAGGTAGCTCTGGAAAATCTTATTCACCCACTCGTAAATACACATAGCATTTAGGCATTTAATATTTAATTAATTTTAAGAAAGGTTTACAAAAATTAATAATTTATATAAAAAGTAATAGAGTTCTAGTGTTATTGACAGCACAAAATTAATAAATATTTTTTAAAAAATCCCTAGACGTTTTGCCTGCGGTTTGGTTATATGTGAATTTGAGAATGAGTTTTATTTCGAGTGTTCATTTATTATTTCTTACATATATATACACATGCATCTGAGGTCCAGTTCGGGGCAGACCTTGGCTGAATTTTGACTGCCAGCCGGCAAAAGATAAACAGCGACAGTTTTTCTCCCGATAAAGGGAATGGCGATGGTGAGGGTGCGAATGGGGTAATGGGAGGTTGTGGGCTGGGAACCTTGTTGCCTTGTCTGCCAAACTCATTAAAACGAATCTTTTTTAATGGCCAAAAGTTTGCCTGGTTGCTGCCATAATCAGTAAAATTAAGGCCATGGCAGCTGAAAACTGTTTGCTGCCTGCCAATGTCGTTAGCGTTGGTCCACAAAAAATTCTGGCAGACATAAAGAGGTCTGCTCAAAAAAGTTTTAAAACTATACCGCTGATTTTATTTGTATCTATTGATTGCTTAACAAAAACAAATGACATTATAGACAATTTGTTTTCCTTGTGGTCATCTTCTTATGGTGTTGGGTGGCAATAAATAAAGAAATGGGGGTTCTTCAAGAAACTTTAATAGTTAATTTTTCATCTTATGTAAATCAAAACTTGCTTTTGGTCGATTTTCAATCGACAATTATATAACAAAAGCTTTATTTAAAGTTAATTATCTGTACCTTCAGAGGATATCCTTTCTAAATAAATAATTGTATTCTTAATTCTGAGAGCTAGTGGTTTCCTCAACTTCTGTTTGCTTATCCCTTTACCTTCAGTCCCCGAAATCTCATTGCGAATTCAATATTCGCAGGCAGTGGCTTAAAGGCGACAACTTGTGTGTCAAACGCGCAACGGCAACGCGACCAACAACTAACAACTTACTTAAGCCAACAACTGCAGAAGAAACACTCGCACAAGAAGGCGATAGATGACGCAGGCATTGCCATTGCCATGTCACACTCAAAAAGGCCGAAAAGGCAGTCCCACATAAACGTGCTCCGGCGGCTGGAGAGTGTTTTGGGTCCTCCAATCCCCTCCGAATGCCCCGTATACCCAGTACACCCCTGGAAATCCCTGCACGTGGCCATCGGGCTGCACTCTTGTGCACTAATTACGAAAACTCAGCACGTTTTGCCATCGCATGGCTCAGCTTTTGGCCGGGCTGTCTGGTAGCCTGGCTGCTGCCTGTTGGCTGTTGGCTCTTTTGGCCTGGACGAGTGGTTAAATGCTGTGCGGAGCTGTGCTGCAGTAATAGCAGCAACATGCAGCGCGACAGTTGCCTATACCCAGGGGAACTTCTTAAACACGGAGAAAAACACACAGCCCATTCCGTAAAATATTAGCCATTAAATTCATACTTTTTAACGTGGGTGGGTAAAATCAGTTCAAGTCAAAATCATAAATAGTCATAAATTTATTTACATTATCCAAAATAAATATTAAAAATGAAATTATTACATCAAATTTTGCTTGTATTCACCATTTCTCACTAAATTCGTAGAAACCATGCTATGCTTAGAAAAAGTATTTAATGTTTAAAACTGGTAACTTTAATTTTGATTGCTTAATTTCCACAATTGCACGGATTAGGAATCATAAGAATAAGCTATTTTTAGACTTAGCCTAATTATAGTTATAGTATTTTTACTATTCAGCTCTAAGAAACGATTAAGATATTAGTGTTCCGTAACACTAGAAAAATTCTATAAGTCGTTAAGCTTAAAGTTCCATAATTAACTCTTTAAAAATTCTTTTGTATTATTGCTTCTCATTGTGTAAAACCAGCAGCAACAAAGTCGGCGGTGGTGGCGTTGCTCCTGCAAAAGTTAAAAACATTGCGGCAAGCAATAAAATCAACATTGGTTTCGGTGTTGGTTTTGACTCGGCCCCAGCGGAGCCCTCCACTTACCTCCCTGCCGCCCCGCCCCCTTGGCGATCCGTTGTGTAACTGTATTACTGATGAGCTTCAAAATGTGCTTGGCGTGCCACAATTTTACCAAAGTCAATGTCTGAGGTTGCCACCGGACCAACTGGGAGGAAAAAGCCGCCCGGCATAGACAGCGGGTTAAGAGCGAAAAACCAAATTCTGCAGCTCGTGGCTGGTATAATGAGCAATGCAGAGCTGCCCGAATAAATTATTGCCATGATTAAAACTGTTCCACATCTGAAATAGCCTACGTTTAATATTTAATATTTTAGCCTACGTTTTATATTTTTATATCATTAAGTTTCTTAAAACATTACGAGACTGAATGCTTTACAGCTGTTTGTTTCACATTTTGGTACACATTGTGGACTCCTAAATTGGATAAGTCTTGACACCCTTATTGAGTGATACCTTTAACGCTGAACCGAAATCGAGGTTTGGTCAACTACATATTTGCAATCTTTACGTCGGCAACATGGCTATAAAAATAAATTACACACAGCTTAAAACTTATGTGAGGTAGAAAGAAAAATGGCTTATAGACGCGCAATGCAACCAAAAAAGCAGCTCACCGAATTGAGAGGTATAACAAAATGACCAATCGACCTCGGGCCCCAAAGGAGGAAATCCCGGGAAGTTAGAGTGATGAACGTTATTGCTCTTTTGCTCGGTGCTGCTCAATGGAAGTGATTCGCCCACACACACAAAATCGCACACATCAATACACAATCAGTAGAGGGGGTAACGGTAAAGGTAAGGCTGCAAGCCGACAATGAAGACATTAACATGACCAACGACAACAGCCAACGACAAAACTCTCCGTGCCCCATAGCTCATCACATTAATCTTCTTAATACGCCCATCAATAATTCAAAGCCAAAGGCATGACCAACTGGACAAAACCGGCAGTCGGCAGTCGATAGACGACGACCACCTAAAGCCCGAAAACCCAAAACCGAAAACTTGGCCAAGTGAAGAAGTCGCCTTCGACACGCAACCATATATATTGAACAGACCCAAGTGCTGAGTGAATTATGACGCACTATATACGCTCCACGTTCGATTCTTTTCGCCTGAAGTGGCCACCTTCGAAAACAGTTTGTCGTCCATCACATGCAAACTACAACATACAAATATTGAACTCTTTCCTCGCCGGACAGTGAAACTTTATGGCTCGTTAACATTTGATTTACGCCCCAACGCATGTGCGGATTCACAGGGGAACTAAGGGGCAAGAGTCACACCAAATCGGTTACGAAAAGTAGTATTAAAAAAGTATGCTATAAAAAAGTGTTCTTAACCCCCCGACAATCGAATCCGGGACGCCACTGCCCCAAAGTCTGTACGGCGCCAAAACAAAATAAACAATTAGGGAAAACCCAAATTCTATATTTAAGTTTCATGTGCTGATAACCTCAGCTTAGATTTGAGCACTGGTTGTTAATTGCGACATTAATACACGATAACATACAAAAACCTCATACTGATAGGGGCTTTAATTGTTTGGCTTTAAATTTGTGCGCTCATAATAAAAATGAATGAAATACGTAAATACAAAAATTTGACTTTGTCTTATTTTATTTAATTTTTTTTTTATTAGGAAATATTTTGGTTAGTTGTTGAATTTTAAAAAATATTAAGACATAAAACTTAATTTCCCAAGCAAAAAATTTGGTAGCAAGTTTAAGGCTTTAAAAAATGTTTCAGTGTTATGCGTCACAAAGAAAGGGGATTTTTGAAACCGTTTTTCTTTCACTGGACTTTTTGCGCCCACATTTCGCATCTTGCAACTATCGAAAATTGCGAACGTAATTGTATATGAATGACATATGCTGAACGCACAAAAGCGCTGGAGAGCTGCCGTGCTCGCATTGTGCTCCTGCAACTGACAGGCGCCCCCAATCCCAATCCTCGGGTCCATTGTTGGACCTGGACAATGCCAAAAGTGCCACTGGCTCCTCTGCCCCACATGCAGCCGGCTCCACCTGTTTCTGTTCCTCCCTCGACAATTTCATGTCAGTTGCTTCATTCGGAAATTTTCTGTTGCCATTCGACAGTGCCATCTCGCCATCGCAGGTTTTTCACGCCTACTCCGGCGCTCAGTCGACCCCATGGAAATGGCCTTTGTTGCGATGCTCTCCCGTGAATTGTTGCCCGCTTCCTTTTGTTGATGAAGATAGGCATTCGGCGGGGCACATGTGTCAAGCCTTCGCCGCGCCTTCCATCTGGCTGCTCCTTATCGGCGGCAGCTTAAATGCCACTAATTGTGTCAAAGGTTCGTCATGGACGCGATAAAGACTGCCCAAAAGTATTCGTCGGCGGCTATAAAAGCAGCAGCCGACTGCCGAAATATTTAGTTTGCTCATCTACAAAGTGAAGACAAGAAAGTAAGTGTTCAAAGTGGCTCCACAAAGTGTTACAATTTTTGGATTTATTTGGGCTTCATGAAATTATATTGTTTACTTAAAACTTTATGAGTAAGAAAAAATGTTTTTTAAACAAAATAATTAAATCTGCACTTTTCTAAAAAAAAAGTATCTTATTTAAAGACTTTGATCTTAAATCCATAGAAATATTAATTATCACCGCTTTAACAGGCACTTTGCTTACGAATATAAGTCATTGTTAAGGGATCAGGTGAAAAGGCATTTTGAGTCAGTGCATGTCAATTATTGGTGAAATTCGAAATTTTCCTCCTTACCTGTTATCAGAAAAAAACAGACACATTGCCTTGGATTCGATAACTTTGTTTTAGGATCAAGTAATTTGTGTAGGCAAGCTGAACAATAAGGCAAGCAATAATTAATTGCAAGCCATCGGCAATACATAGTCTTCTATTCAAAAGCATGGTGCCTGTGTTGGCTTGATAAAAAATGGGAAAAGAATTTTGAAATTTTTGTGTATTCTTGCCCTTTATAACTTTCTATTGTAAAGGCCACAATTATTACACTGTGAAAACGAAACTTTTTGTAATATTTTTGCACTGAAAATGTTTGAGCGTGTAAAAAAAACTCGCATTGATAAACAAAATTTGTTTTTTTAAGCAATCATAATTTTTTTTCATAATGATTAAAATAACATATACATAGAATGTTAACAATATATTTTTGGTTTTTTAAAAAGAATTTTTTAAATATCAAGCTAACGATATTATAAAATGTATATAAAAAGATTTAGGTAAAATCTTTACAAATATTTAATTTGTCAATAAATTATTAGCATATTTTGAGGTTTATTGGCTTGTGTAGGTTAAGAAAAAAAAATAAACAAGATTATTTTATTCTTCGAATAAATTTCTAAACAAAGTTAATCATAGCTGTCTTATCTGGTGCATTAAATAACATTGCTCACTGTCAGTCTAATTAATTTCGTCTAGTAATGTCTACCGACAAGAAAATACTCTATAAGAACCATTTTCTAAAAAGTTTTTAATAACTTGCAGCCTCCAATCAACATGAACTTCTCCTGGCTCACCATCTTTATCTTGGCCATCATCGCCGTAGCTGTTTCGGCCAAGAACTGCCCAGCTCCATTCAAGAAGGAAGGCAATTCGTGCACCGCAAAGCGCACCATTCGTGGGGAATGCCCTTCTGGTTCCCAATACAGTGCCAATGTTAACCTGTGTGTCTACAAAAACTAAATACTCAAATCAAAATAAAACCTAATCAGACAGTGATTTAATACATATATAATTTAAAAACAAAACTGTTTTGCTTAGGTGGTTATCAGCGGGGTGTTATCAATGAGGGCCGCCTTTCACCAGTTCGGATCAGTAGAACAAGACCAAGGTCGTACAAATGGAATTATTACCTTGGCGGAGCTGAGGTATATAAGATCCGTTCCAGTTGCATCTGTTCGAATAGTTGCATTTTGTATTTGCCTAAGGTAAGTTAAGGCTTCCAGTTTTTCATTCCACTCTAAGGTTATTATTTTGAGTGCAGAAATCGAAAAGGACTTAATCTTCAATCATGCACGTGAAATGCACTTGGCTTTTGCTCTTGGTCCTGTCCCTGATGTCAGGGGCCCTTGCAGGCAGTGGATGTCCTGCGGGTTATAATGCTGAGAACAGTCGGTGCACCATCGAGCGTCCTGTGCACGGATCCTGTCCCCCTGGATCTTCCTATAGCCTCAACATTAACAAGTGTGTCCACTCGTAAGGATCTCAACAAAATGAATATACAGTTTAAATGTTAAAATGTGCGAGCAAATATAAAATTAAACGATCTGCACTTCAGTGAAGTTTATATTTTAGAAATGTGTAGGCCAAAGTTAAGAATTCTCCCAAATGGAAATTTTTTTTATATTGATATATTATAAATTTAGGTGTGGTATTGCATTTTTAAAGAAGAGTAAAGTTATTTGTTTCTCACTCAAAAATACAAAGTTTTTACTATATTATCAAGGAATATTTTTTAAGGAAACAGCAAAATATAAAAAATAGGCATCTTCTAAAAAGGTGTAAATTTGTTTATAAATAATGAACGGAAAACGCTTTTCCTTATAGTTTTTATTTAAATTAAATTACGAATATATCTGTTGCAAATTAACATCTCAGAGACTTCGCGTTTTCAACTTTTGCCTTTAAGCCAGTGCCATTTTTAACCCAACCTCACTTTGGGCCAATTATGTTTGGCTTTATGTGCTGGCCATGGGAAGGTCAACAAGTGTTGAAGCCAAACGGGCATGAGTGAGGACCAAAACTGATGAGGAGGCCTGATGTTGATGATGATGGTGAATGACGGCGTCGCCAGGCGGGCACGTTGGCCATTAGTTTATTACCATGTAATTGACTCAACGCTTGTCAGCCGTCAACGGCGACGGCTCCTGCGGCTTTAATGTGCTGCATTTAATGCCCAGGCCAACACCAGAGATACAAACACAACACAACACAACGCCATCGCCAGCGACAGCACATCAAAGTCAAAGCGGTCTGTCTGACTATCTGACGGATCGTCGTACTATATGTATTGTTTATGTCTGTCTATCTCCGCTCGTCCGCGATTAGCTTGATTGGCCTGCCCGTCCGCACCTTTGGCCTCTGCCTTATCGGGGGCCCATGTTTCGTAAGACTCGGCTTCCAATTGAATCGTCTCACAATCGCCTAACACCGCCTGCTATAAAATTCATTAAAAACTTTTCCCACCGCTCTGCCTTAAAACGCCCAAAAAACGTTGGCGAAGACATAAAAACGTAGAAAACATTTAACAGTGGCAAAAACTTTGGCAAGTCCAAGCTGTCGACAGGATGTGCAGCAAACCCAATTGCATATGCCAATGTAACAAAGTTTTCAACGGCAAAATGTCCCACGCCCAACCAGTGATGGCACTGCTAAGGCCTTCAATGTCCTTTGTCAGGGGGAAATATGCCGGAAATTATGGGAAGTACTACAAAAAAAAAACACAATATTATAAAACTAAAATAGACAAAATATTTTTTACATTGTGGGTACTAACCTTGGTACCTATAAATAGAAAATTTGTTGTCGTTTTATTTAAACTTTGACTTATTTTAAATAAATTTAAATAATTTTACTAAAATTACTTATATCAAAACTTGACGTAAATAAAAATATAAGTTTTAAATTATTAAATGTTTTCAAACTATTAAGAGCTATAAAAAACAGTATATCACTAAAATAAAAATGAAAAGATTGATTAAAAATATTTGATTTATTAAGTCACCAAAGAATATATTAAAATTGGGAGAAATATAGCAGGTAGAAATATTTAAGGCTCTGAGAGGCATAGCCAAACTATCAACACTGTAACCGCTGCGCGTCCATAAACTAAACGTCCTTGTCACTGGGGCTTGTAAATTTCTATGACTTGCATAAAAAAGGGCTCCCCCCAGAATGCCTTCCGCTGCTCTGGGTTTCCTTTTGGTCTAAAAGTTTCCTGTAGCAAAAGTCGGCCAGCCGGACAGCGGACAACGGCAGGAAATAAGGAAATGTCCTCAGTCGTATTTGCTGCCTTGGCAGCGACATTTATCAGTCAGTTGTTGCAATGTCCTTTGGGCCGATGGCCTGGAGTTTGTGGTGCAGGTTGGGGAGCGGAATTTTCTTGTTGGACAATTTTCAAAAGGAGTCTCAAGTGCCTGCCGCCCAGAGCCTTCCAGCTGACAGCAATCGCTGCAGTTTGCTGCAGTGGCCGCATGCTCTTACATTCGCTATGTAGCATATACTCGTGGTATCTGGTATCTCTAGTCTCTGGGCTGACGGGAAAGTTGCCTCGGCAAACTCTCGCGCAAATATGATGAACGTAAGCAGTAAAGTTCTGGCCAACTGATAGCCGAACGCTGCTACTTGGCCATCTTATAAACACAAGCTGGCCCTAAAAAACTTTTACAGCCCAGCAGAGGACTTTCCTCTGGCGACGGCTCAACTTTATGGGCAGCCACATAGTTTCGGCTTGGCTGCATTTCAAGAATGCTGCAACTCGACCACACGGTGAAAAAATTATTATTATTTAATTATTATTTAGCCTTAAAATATCATTGCTATATATCACAATTATCCAAAATATTTTACCAGGTTCGCAGCATTTAAAAAATAGTTTTTTAATCATAGCGTATATTTTACACTTCTATCACTTACAATAATATACATTTTCAAAGCATATTTGTCTTGAATATTGACAGCCTGGTAACTTGTCCTTTAATAATAATATACTCATAGCCATGGGATCAAGTGAACAGCTTGAATGAATGTCTGTCAATTATTCGTGGCAACATTGAAAATTTCCCTCCATATCAGTTATCAGAAGCGAAACAGACACCTTGCTTCGGAATAGAAGTCTTTGTTAAGGGATCAGGGAAACAGGCATCTTAAGTAACTCTACATCTTAATTATTGTTGACAACTCCTTACTTGCTATCAGAAGCAAAACAGGCACATAGCCTCGAATTCAATATCTTTGTTTTAGAATCAAGTAATATGTGTAGGTAGCTGAACAATAAGTGAAGCTAATAATTAATTAATACATCTTAAGCATTCTAAGTTCCGAAACATGTTTGGTTCTGATAAGAGAAATAAAAGTTATTAAGGTTTTCTTTAAATTAATATTTGAAGTTCCACGGGTATTTTTATACCCTTGCAGAGGGTATTATAATTTTGGTCAGAAGTTTGTAACGCAGTGAAGGAGACGTTTCCGACCCCATAAAGTATATATATTCTTGATCAGGATCAATAGGGGAGTCGATATAGCCATGTCCGTCTGTCCGTCTGTCCGTCTGTCCGTCTGTCCGTCTGTCCGTCTGTCCGTCTGTTTCAATACCGTTTGTGAGCTCAGTTTAAAAGCTAGCGATCTGAAACTTTCACACGCGTCCTAAAACATGTGACGCAGATCAAGTTTGAAAATCGCCCCGATCGGACGTCTATATCCTATAGCTCCCATAGGAACAATCGGATATATCTAGCAAAAATTGATGATATTTCGCGCAGTGTAAAAGCTATTGACATGAATTTTTCCAAATCGTATTTTTTATGCATACCTTGATCAGGGTAAAAGCGCGTGGCAATCGGACGTCTATATCCTATAGCTCCCATAGGAAAAATAGGGTAAAATCGGTCCAAATTTTATGTTTTTCAGAATATTTCGCGCTGTGTAAAAGCTATTGCTATAAATTTTTCAAATCGTATTTTTTTATACATTCCTTCATCATGGTGAAAGCGCGTGCTGATCGGACGTCTATATCCTATAGCTCCCATAGGAACAATCGGATATAACTTTCAAGAATGGAAGATATTTTGTGCAGTGTAAAAGCTATTAACATAAATCTTTCCAAATCTTATATTTTTATGCATACCTTGATCAGGGTAAAAGCGCTTGGCGATCGGACGTCTATATCCTACAGCTCCCATAGGAACAATAGGGTGAAATCGGTTAAAATTTAATGATTTTTAGGATATTTCGCACAGTATATAAGCAATTGACATGAATCTTTCCAAATCGTATTTTTTATGCATACCTTGATTATGATAAAAGCACGTGACGATCGGACGTCTATATCCTACAGCTCCCATAGGAACAACAGGGTGAAATCGGTCCAAATTTGATGATTTTCTGAATTTTTCGCGTAGTGTGTAAGCTACTGACATAAATTTTTCCAAGTCTTATTTATTTACGCATATCTTGATTAGGGTAAAAGCGCTTGCCGATCGGACGTCTATTTCTTATAGCTTCCGTAGGAAAAATAATTAAAGGCTGCGAAAGTATCCCTTTTTTTCTATTTTTATATGACATTTTTGCAGTATAAAAGCAATTGACATTAAACGATGAAAATCTAGTTTATTTATGTATACCTTATTCCTTTGGCTACTTTTTCAGTTTTAGCAATTTCGGCAAAGTCTGCAAGGGTATTAAAACTTCGGCTTGCCGAAGTTAGCTTCCGTCCTCGTTTATATTAAAATTTCTCTCTAATAATTTTTTCAATAGTTTAATATGGAATTTAAATTGATTTTTTTTCTCTGTGTACTTGTTCTCTACACTTTTCTTATCTCATTGGGGCGTTGTCCACCCTCTTGCCAACGCCCATTGATAAAAACGAAAGTGTAGCCATAATTTCTGAGCTGGCCCTGCTCGGGTGTGTTGCTGTTGTGGTCGGTGTTCCTTGGTTGATGGCTAAAACTTTCTCGTTATTGATGCTGCTGTCCAAAAAGAAGTGCTGACGAGGCTCGCCAAAGGCGCCCTAAGAATGGAGGCTACTTTCGAAATAGTTTAAATGCACAGTTAAAGGCTTTTTATGACGTTCGGCCCTACTTAATTGTTCGGCGCAGAAAGTGATAATGGATGCGGCTCAGTCCCCTATAATTACTGCAACACTATGCTAATTAGTTGATAGCCGACGAAATGCACTGGTTTTAAAGAGCGTCAGCTATCGAATTTCATAATCCGTTAAATTGACTAAACCGCTCCACAATTGTAGTCCGTTTGCTTGTTTACTATTACTTTGATTCAACTATCAAATTTGTTTGCTAAATCGCTGTTTTTACGGCTTAATTTGTGTAATGTACAATATGAGTGGCAATCAAAAAATGTGTTAGCTGGGAATTAGTAATTTACCTTTGATCATTATTTTATTATTTGATTTCCATTTCGCCTAAATGTTTGCTGACGTGGGGACTTACATCTATTGAGTACCTAATTGCGTCGAAATAGTTTAAATAGATTTGTGATAAGTTATTAGCTTATTGAGTTGTTTTTAATTTTTTTAATTTCTTAAGTTTTTTATCG